GGGTTTGACAATCATCAGTTAGTTGAGGAGCGAGAACTAATTTACTTTTTCGGAGTTTCGTGGCCTGTAGCATTGGACTGGTTTCGACATCCGGCGAGAGAGTTGTCAGAAAATGGCTGTCGTTGCGAATTCGTGTCAAGGGGTGCCCGCGCCCACAGCTCTCTCGTTTATAACAGCATCTCTATCTTTATTTCTCGCCATTATCACTGTCCCTGGAAATTTCTTGGTCTGCCTTGCTGTGTTCAAAGACCCGTACAAACGCCTCAGGTCGCCGTTTACTTTCTTTGTAGTAAGTCTTGCCGTTTCTGATCTGATCGTCGGCATGGTGACGGAACCCATTTCGGTTTGGCTTCACTTTCGCGAGGGATTTTCCCTGGAGATCAATCACATTTGGTTGATTCACATGTCGTACTTTATCTCTTGTACCGCCTCCGTGTTGAATCTGGCTGCTTTGACTGCAGATCGCTTTACAGCGATAACCTATCCTCTTCAATACAGGGCAAGGTTTGGCACCAAGCGAGCGGCAGTAATCGCGGCTCTTATTTGGTTCCTGTCGTGCAGTTTGCCGTTTGTTTACCTGGAGGTCGGATATTTGCTGTACGCGTTTGTATTTGCAAACACTGCCATCGCGTTGACCTTTATCATATTCCTCGTTACTTATGTTGGGTTTTTGCGTAGTATGAGAGCCCAGGTGTCGGAGTTGGAAATGGTGCGAGATAGCTCACAAACTGAAGAAAATCGAGCGAGAAGACGAACTGCTGCTAACGAGAGGAATGTCACCAAGGCATTCATGTTGATGCTAGGCTTGTTTCTGTGTTGCTACACTCCGTCTTGTGTCATGATATACGTTATGAACCTGTGCTCGTCCTGCAGTTGTTATGCAATCCACATTCTTCGAGATCTTCAGTTCCTCTTCGTGTTGGGTTCCTCGGCGCTAAATCCATTTCTTTACGCCTGGCGTTTACCTAACTTTCGAAAGGCGTTTGTTAGGATTTTGCGTTGGCGAAAAGTAAACGAGGAAACTGCACCTGCTAACACGCTAGAGAGCGCGGGGAGAGTACCCGGCACGGTCGATAGATCACCTTGAATGCATGCGAGGACACTGAACTGGCTATTTGTTATATACAGTGGAATCCCAATTTCTCAAACTTCCAAGGAGAACGAAAATTGATCAAGTATATCGGAAGTCCAAGATATGGGTGTAAAACTACAGAGAAATAAATCATAGTTAATGAATAAATCTAACGACCTTTGGTTCGAGTTATGCCGCGGAGGTTCTAAAAATCAGGATTCCTCTGTACTCGGCATCTTCCGAAAAAAAAAAGAAGAAGAAACAGAAACAATAGTAGCGATAAAAAGAAATCTTTTTACTAGTGAATGTCAACGAAAGGGGAGGGCGAGTTCAGACATTGCCTTCCAGCTTCCAGTTTTCCTTACTCCCTTAGGGCTTAGGAGCGCTTTAATTTACTGATTTATTGCTTCTTTAATTGGTATTCTGAGAATTAGCTGAGGGAAATTTCATTTACTGACATATGATACGGGGAGGATTCCTTTCCACAATCGCTAGGATTTTCTCGTCATCTGTGTATGATTGCTGTATAAACGCGCAGCTTTGTATCATGTTTAGAAACTCTGAAGAAATGTGCAGAAAGAAAAGAAAAAATGTCATTCTGAAAATTCATTTATCCTTGCAGTCAAGTAGACAGGTGATTAGAGTTTAACGAAAATCGTTTAAGAGTCATTATCAGACGACGAAGTTAATTCAGAAGACCATTTATGAAAACCGACCAATCAGATTGCTCTGTAGCCCGTCTATATTTTTCAAGTATTGGACCAGGCACTCTGCCGAAGGTCTTGTAATTTTTATGGCTTTCTTCTCACCAGGAGATATCTTGCACATTAAAGGTTCTTTTGTTTCTTTTGTGTTAATCCAACTTCAGTTCTTTTCCTGCTTTTTGAAAACGTCAAATTGGAGTAAACTCTAAGACGGTTATTAATCAGAATTACGCGCATGAAGATTATATTTTCTTTCCAGCCTGTGATCGTGGGATTTTTTTCTTAGCAGTTCAGGCGTGTAACAGATCATCTCAGTTTTGATAACCAAGTACCACATAAAAGGTTCTTTTGTTTTTTTTTAATCCAAGTTTCTTTTCCTTCTTTTTTGAAAACGTCAAATTGGAGTAAACTCTAAAACGGCTTTTAAAAGATTATATTGTCTCTGCAGCCTGTGATCATGGGATTTTTTTCTTAACAGTTCAGGCGTGTAATAGGTCATATTTTGATAACCAAGGATAATCAGGGCCTTGCTGGGAAAGTATAAGCCCTTGGTCTTTTTTGTTTGTATTATCAATACCTCGGTCTCATATTTTCCATCTACGGCCTTGGTGCTTGGTTTATATGCATTGTCCTGTTGTACCACAAAATTTTCAAAACTAACATTACAGGGATTGTATATAGATTAACCAGGAGAATTGGCAGAAAAATACGTTTTAGATGTCTTGTAAGCAAATAAGTATTAGCCTTAGTATAGTTTAAATCTGTCAGTGTTTCTTGAAATGGTTTTAAACTCCTTGAAATAAACGTTTTGTGTTTTGCTGTCATGTTTGAGTGTTGAGTTTTGTATAGAGTCATCTTCATTTGGAAAGTAGAATTTACATCTAGATATTTAGTTGCGTCTGCACATGTATGTTCATTTTATAAAACGCGCTTGTCAGCTATGAACAACTTGAAGACTGAGGTGTTCGTTTAGGAAATTAGGGACCTTTAGATCATAGTAGGAGTAAGAGATTGTGTACGAACGGCGACTTTTTATGCTTTCCATTATCACGTTTCACGCCAGTGTCTCGCGGATAGTGTCATATTCAACTGGCCAGTAACGGGGAGGAGCGAGGGCACTGGGAACGTAACTATACTGCAATATGAAAGTCGTATTCATGTAGTCATAGTTAATAGAGTACATGTAC